TCTCAGGGGTGTCCAATCTTATCTGCAAAGGACTGATATGGTTTAAAGTTTTCATTCCAACAAAGCTGGATCACACATTATCGGTTGTTGAAGACCAAGACCAATTTCTTGAACAGCGGGAATCAGGTGTGCACATGTTTGGTTGGAATGAAAACCTGCATCCTCTGCAGATAAGATTGCACACGCCTGATTTATCTGCATGGGACAGTAGAAGGATATTAGCCTCTTCCAGTGTGCTGCTGTAGCTTCATTTAGGATTCATTTGTAATCTCTGTATCTCAGGTGTTACAACTGCGGAGGCTTGGACCACCATGCAAAAGAGTGCAAGCTGCCTCCTCAGCCGAAAAAGTGCCATTTCTGCCAGAGCGTTGCGCACATGGTTGCCAACTGCCCAATCAAAGCACAGCAGTCTTCATCCGGCTCTCAGGGAAAGCCTTCACCTCTGAAGGGGGAGGAAGAGGAGCAGAGCCATTTCCCCGCACCCAGCGAAACCACCGACTGAGACAGCAGTGCACACAAAGGAGGGCGGGATGTAGCTCGCAAGCCAATCATACCATTATACTGGGAAGACAAATATATGTTGCTATCAATGCTGCTCTTGGAACTACCTCAGGTATATAGGAGAGAAACAGAAGAAGAATGTATCACTTTTTGTCTTTAATGGTGTAACACTCAGGAATAGTTCTGCTTTGTACTCAGGAATTTTGACAATGTATTTATTGTAGGCTTTTCTCTATAAGAAATGACTGATTATTCACTACTCAACTATATCTACTATTTTTACGTAATTTTCTATATGTGTCATTTATAACAAGAAGCAAATTCCTGGTTGTTACATCTCAATGTCCGACAATAGGAGAGGCTGTGTAGACACTCCTCTGTAAAGAATGTTCCTCTATGTTTTTCAGGGAGTTTTAGGGTGAGGGGGGTTTTTAGAGTAAAATTGGGGTGGGGTTTTTGCAATCGACTGACCTGATCACCTGGGGCCAAATGAATGTTAAGCCATGGATCTGCTCTGCCAGCCAATGGTTCTTTTGTCATTTATCCCTGTTAATTTATAGATTACGTTTCCTCTGTTCAGTGGACAATAGATGTGCGATTACTTTTTAAAAAAAAAAGACAATTTTAAGGATTAATCAGATCGAGTGTTCTTTTTAGAATACAGTTTGCATTCAAAATGTGTGACTTGATGTTAACCACTATGTAACCACAGCTGTGCATCTGTGTTCTTGTGTGCTATAGCCTAATTGCCTTTTCTTTTGACAGTTTATTTGTCATTCACATCATTATTAGAGGAATCGCTTATTCAGTTGATGAAGTCCATTTCTAAGTCCTTGACTAGACACTGCCTCCATTCCCCAGTTGCCAGGCTTCTTTAAGAAGAGGAGGTGCATGTAGACCTAGCAAACTTGACAGCCTTTTACTCCAGTTTAACAGGAGAAGCTGGCAGACCTTCTTACACATTTTATACATACTGTATATGTAGACCTAATATGAAACCCTTTTCAAAATCACTAGTATTTATTTATAGTCATTCCAGGAGCTTCTTTTCAAAGACCCTTCCCTTTGCATTCTTTCATTAATATACCTCATCTCTCCACATTTGTCTTAAGATTCTCAGGAAAAAACAGAGCTTGCCATTTCTGTTGATGATCCTCATCGACATGCTAAACTGCAACAGCAGTGGCACAGGGCAATGTGTCTGTATTATTAACATGAAAGCTTTTTTAAAATGACTAGTATTTATTTGTAGCCATTACTACAAGGCCTTTCCTTTTGCATTCTATTAATTATATACCTCATCTCTTTGCATTTTATTTATGATTTGATAATCAATTGCTATTTGTTTTATGATTTAGAATTATATTATAGGTTTTGATGGTTTTGCTATGCACACTTTTTTGGGCAAATGAGCATTAGGAAATGTATCTATGCCAAATCAGTGCAATGTTAACTCTGCACCAATCATGCTGCAGATTAATTTTGCCTTCTTATGGTCTTCCTACATCTCATTTTACTGTTTCTGTTTGATGTTTTTCAGGACAGCATGTTCATGTTCTGTTATTACTGATTAATCTGTATAGAAGTGAACTACAGCGAGGTTTACTGTCAATGAAGCATGAATCTGAAAAATCTCAGGGAAAGCTTCAGATTATCATGTTGGTTAGATACTTTCAGGGAGAAATATAGTGATATATACTGAGAAAATAGAACATGTTCAATACCACATTAGTATTATTATAACAGAATAAACAAGCATAAACGTTTTTTGGTTTTGTGATTTTTGTGAATTCCATATTTGTACTTTTTTGTTTTAGCCTTGGGACATTTGCAAAGAATATATATATATATATATATATATCTATCTATATATATATATATATATATCTATATATGCTAACTAAATAATCATGGTCATATTTACAAACAAAATACAGAACAATTTTTATTTTACACACAAGTTATTTTTTAATGCAGAGATGTAATTATTTGAAATGAGAACACCAATTTAAAGGCATGAAACAGCCTGAGAAAATATATGTATTTGACCATAAGTTTAAACAAACATATTGAGCAGATGTTTTTTGATATTTACATTCACCAAGCACTTTATAAGGAACACTTCCTTGTTTCTACACTCATTGTCCATTTTATCAGCACCACTTATCATATAGGTGCACTTTGTAGTTCTACAACTACAGATTGTAGTCCATCTGTTTCTCTACATACTAAGTTTGCCCCCTTTCACCCTAGTCAGGACCACCACAAGACCAACAGAGTAGGTATTATTAGGGTGGTGGGTCATTCTCAGCACTGCAGTGACACTGATGTGGTGGAGGTGTGTTAGTGTGTGTTGTGGTGATATGGAAGTGGATCAGACACAGCAGTGCTGCTGGAGTTTTTAAACACTGTGTCCACTCACTGTCCACTCTATTAGACCTTGTTGCTCCACCTTGTAGATGTAAAGTCAGAGACAGTAGCTCATATGCTGCTGCACAGTTTGTGTTGGTCATCCTCAAATCCTTCTTCAGTGGTCACAGGATGCTGTTGGGTAGATATTTTTGGTTGATGGACTATACTCAGACCAGCAGTGACTCTGAGGTGTTTAAAAACTCCAGCAGCTCTGCTGTGTCTGATCCACTCGTACCAGCACAACACACACTATCTGTGCTGAGAATGATCCATCACCCTAAAAACACCTGCTCTGTGGTGGTCCTGTGGGGGTCCTGACCGTTGAAGAACAGGGTAAAAGGGGTCTAACAAAGTATGCAGAGAAACAGATGCACTACAGTCTGTAATTGTAGAACTACAAAGTGCACCTACATGGTAAGTGGAGCTGATAAAATGGACAGTGAGTGGAGAAACAAGGAGGTGCTCCAAATAAAGTGCTCAGTGAGTGTATATCTACTACTATCTCAGTAAAACCCAAAAGGAATAGCCCAATGAATATAATATAATATAATAATATAATATAATATAACATAATAAATGTATAAAAATACTATGCCTATGTTGTGTTAGTGCTTGGTCAGGACATATATTATGACATATATGTAATTTTAATCATAAGCATTTTATTTCTATTTGTGTTATGGTCATTTTTTCTGTCTATCTTCCTATTCTCTATTCCTATAGCTGTAAGCATTTTTTTATTTCAAATACCTAGTTTTATATTCTTCTGAAATATTTCTATTTTACACTTCAAATTTATCTTAAAATTCTCAGGTTAAAAAACACAGTGCTCATCCACCGTGACATATATCCAGCATGTAAAGCAGCGTCACACCCCAAATGTGTTTGTGTTCCTAGTTGTTGCAGTTGTAGTGACGAAACTTGCTCAGCATGGCCCTACATGAGCACACTGAGTCCTCTATTGTACTGATATTACTGAAGTGAAATTAAGTGAAACCCCTATTGTGTTTTAATCTCTAATTTAGAAGTCACTATGAAGCATGCATTGCAGGAAGGGTGAGTCTAGAGCTTTGCTTAATAAATTGTTTTCAAAGCCTTAATGCTGTCTGTTTTTGCATGTTGTTGAAAAAAAATTGAAAAAGACTCTTCCACAAAGAGTCAACATAATTAACACACTGGATTATTGAAATTAAAATGCAAGAAAAAAGTTAAAGGAACAGTCTGGCAAAAAAATCAAATGTACACAATTTTTCACTTATCCCTGGGTGTAGTCTTTCAGCTAAGATATGCTTGGTGTCCTAATTTTGCATCTTTAGTTTAGCACTTGAGCAATGATGCTAAAATAATCAACACTAGAAGTCAATATTCACCCAAATGATTTCCACAAATACATCCTCAAAACTTCTCTCAACCAGCTCAAGCCACATCCAGATCTTTTAAGGTCACACAGACTGTCAGTTTGGTTTAGGACACAGTATGATTTAGCCGACTGTGAACTATAAAAATGATTAAAACATCAATGCAGCAATCAGTCATTTTATACGATACAAAATGTATGAAAATGAAAATGTATGAAATAAATTGTTTAATGTACTTCAGTGTTTGTAATACAATTCTAAATGAAACAATGTATATATAATATATCTCACCTACATAAAAATGACAAAATACCTGCCCATATATTGTTTCTCCATTGTTACTAAATGAAGTAATTAGCCTAGTTACTATTAACAGTCATTTAAAAGGCCTAAAAACTAAATTGTGTTGCATTTTGTGATCATGTGTAAAACTGATAAAGCTGTTGAAATCCATAGCTGACTGTTTCACATTATTAAATGATAAAGTTAGTGTGGATTCCACCCAAAGGATAAATCCTCTTCCTAAAAACGACAGTTACTCGCTAAAGAGATCCCATCTTTGATATAGCATTTTATACACTTTAGCAAGTCTTATATTTTGGGTGTTTGTACTAACCGGACTAGGTGCTGAACACTACCTGAGGAAAAAATCCGCACGTCTATTCGTAAAAATCCGACTCAATACGCTGCATTTACCAGAGACTTTACGGTAATTTGAGACCGAATATGGCCGCTTCCTACACAGTGCTGTGTGGATAGTTGTGGTTTCTGATGAACTAAGTACAGAGTGAAGACATCACAAATGATATAAATACTGCACACTGCTTTAAGATGGGCGTTCTCCGTGTGACACAGATTGTGTCCAGGGCCCTGGTGGCCCAATCATTGAGGAGTAGACTGGCTCCGAGTTTCTCTTTTTCTCGCAGTTTCTCCGCGGAGCCGTTGGCCGGAGAGAGCACTGCGCTCCTATACACAACACACGGAGAGCCCTCAGAAGTCCTTAAGTAAGCACGGCGTAGTTCTCCTTCATAAACACTCTCCCAGCTCCAGACGCCTGACATCATTGCTGATATCTTTTGTGGTTAAACAGGTTGGGGACTCTGCAGCTCCCTTCTCTGGGAGACAAAAGCGTCCTTGTGAAAATGCTTGCAGCTCCCATCAACCCCTCGGATATAAACATGATCCAAGGCAAGCAGACTCGTCTTTTTCTTCCTGACTTCTTTTTGTACTCGTTTGGAGGTTCTTTAAAGTTTAAATGTGGGTTTTTTACACTCCCACGTCTCATTTACAAACAGATTTCCAAGAGCCACTCATGAAAAGGTTCTTCTCTGCTGAAAAAAAACAGCACAGACCAGCAAGTATTTCATCCTGTCCTGTGCTGGTGTTTGCTAGTTTATGCTGGTCTAGTGCTGGTCTGATTCTGGTTTAGCTGGTCACCCCAACCAACTACCCAAGCATGATCATGCTGGGTGACCAGCATACAAGCATCAAAACACAACATATGCTGATTTTGGTGGTGACCAGCCATGCTGGTCTATGCTGTCTAGCAGGGTTTAGAGAACTGAAAGTGGTTCTTGTATGTCATTGTTCCAAAGAACCCTTTTTTTAGCAGTTTATTTTTCAGAGTATGAGTTAACTCAGAGACTCCTGTATGTTTGCTTAGAGACAATGTTTAGTTTCTCTTGTAGTGATGATTCCTTTGTCATACATGCAACAAACCACAATCACCAAACAAATCAGAACTTAGTGGTAACTTGGACCACACTACAGACAAAGGTTAGCCTTATCATGTCAAAAGTATCCTATAAAAGAAGCACACTAAGCCATGAAGAGCAGCTGCATGTGACAGGATGCTGAGTGATTTCGATACCATCTCTGAGCTTCTATTTAAAGTGACTTTGTGTCACCGACAGCTATAATGTAAATAATTGCTATTTACAGTGTTTGCCCACTTGAATAGGCACCTACGCAATACTGCCTGATCTTCCAGCAGTGGGTGGCAATGAAGGAGTGGGCCAGGTTATAGAAGTGGGCAGCAAGGTGAAAACGGTCAAAGTGGGCGACTGGGTGATTCCAAGGGATGCTGGTCTAGGTGAGTTACTGTACCTTACTGTAGCTACACAGAGTTTATGCTCAACACACTGATTTTGTAAACATGATCCAAATGTTTTGTGCAGGCACATGGCGGGCATTGGCAGTTTTGAGTGCAGATGATTTGGTGACGCTGCCCAGTGACATCCCTCTCCTTTCAGCAGCCACTCTGGGAGTCAACCCTTGCACTGCACTCAGAATGCTCTCTGACTTTGAGGATCTAAAGCCAGGTTATTTCAGCTTTTGTATAGGTGGAAGGTTCAGTACACTGTTGGCTCCATACTAAAAACAGGGTTGCCACCTCAGGCCTGTAAATTAATGACCCAATTGACTTTTCATTAGAAATAAAAACATAACATATAACAATTCTCAGATTCCAGGACATTTTGTGTCCTGGAATGGAATTTGGAATAGACAACCAAAATCCAGGATGGTCCAAGACAATCATGCATGGATGGGAACCCTGACTAAAACAGAGTACTATCACTATAAACATTGACCGTGAGTATGTTTCACATACAGCTGTGATCACGTGTGATTTCAGGAGACACAGTAATTCAAAATGCAGCTAACAGTGGAGTCGGACAGGCTGTGATCCAGATAGCTGCAGCAAAGGGTGTTCATACTATCAACATAGTTAGAGACAGGTAAAACTCCTTAATTTTTGTCATAATCTGCTTTGTAAAACCTGCACTAACTAATGGCAGATGAACAAAATTAAATCACATCTTGTTCAAATGGATGCATTTTGTCTTAGGCTTGTGAAAAGGCTGAATCTGAAATACGTCCTGTGTTTTTGTTGATTTGGCATTTGTCTGTGAGGGTACTACTGTTATGTCTTGAGTCTCTATTCCTTGCACCCATAAATTGATTATCAGGTTACACTAACTTTTCATTTTTTCAATCTTTTTCTTGCATATCCTGCCTGTGTTACTGCACTTGAGTAAATTTTTATTTAGTTTTGTATTAAAAAATTTAAGTATGTAAATAAAGTGTAAATGAATATGAGTTTACTGTGCTCTTCTAGGCCAGACCTATCACAGCTGACTGACAGACTAAAAGCGATGGGGGCCACTCATGTGATTAAGGAGGAGACTCTCAGAAGGCCAGAAATGAAGGAACTCTTTAAGGTTGGTTTCCTAAAAGAAGCACCAGAATATTTTAATGTTCTTTAGTACTGATGTTTACAGTTTGAACAACACTACAGTATGTCAGGTGTTGAAATAAATGAATTACAAGTGTAAAAACTGGGTTAAAGATGCAGCATAATGATGCTTAGTGTTTATCTTGTGCAGTTTTGTCCTCGACCTAAGCTGGCCCTAAATGGAGTGGGAGGAAAGAGTGCCACAGAGTTGCTGCGCCATTTACAGTAAGTTAATTACTGTCAAAGCTGCAAAATGGCTTGTGTACATATGGACTGATGTTTATTATTGCACTGATAAGTGTTTTTTCAATTAAACCTTGAGAAGAGAACAGTTTTGCTGATATACTTTCAATGTTTTACTCCTCTGCAGAAGCGGAGGCACTATGGTGACCTATGGCGGAATGGCCAAGCAGCCAGTCACAGTGCCCGTGGTGAGCGTCAAGTAGCTAAATTGCATTTTGGACATGTTTGTGTACAATATGGTTGTTTTTTTTGTGGTTTACCTCTTTTTTTCCCTCAGAGTGCTCTAATCTTCAAGGATGTGAAAGTACGAGGCTTTTGGGTCACTCAGTGGAAAAGGGACCACAGGCATAGTAAGCATAAAAACTCACATGAAAGGCTGAGGGAGTACATTCTCTTTATCTGGGAAACAAAGATATATGATGTGACTTCATGTGGCAGCAGGTTTTTGGCTTTAACTGGTGTCTCTTCTGTTTTTTTAGATGATGAGGCCTTGTGTAGCATGCTGAATGAGCTTTGCACCCTAATCCGTGCTGGAAAATTGTCACCCCCACCCTGCACTGAAGTCAGCATAGAGGACTTCCACAAAGCTCTGGACAATACCATGAAGCCATACATTTCTACCAAACAGGTTTTGGTCATGTGATTCCAATTAAAATTATATGTATAATAACAATAATATAATATATTATATAATATATATAATATATATATATATATATTTTATGGCTCCTGTGATATTTGTCACAGCACAGTCACTTCAGACTTCAGGTACTACAAACACGTGTGCCGTAGCTTCATTTCTGACATCAAAGTCCAGTAAGTGTTATCAGTTTGAGTAAGAAGCCTAAAGAAGCCTACTTGTTCTTTGAACCTTCAGAAACTTTATTTAACATCAACATGCAACACCAGGTTTATGAACTGCTCAGAGACAGGATAAAAGGTTGAATCAGTTTTTATGATGGCTGTCCATAGATAAATTGTTATGTTAGTTCATAAAAACCCATAAAATATTATCATTAATTTTTTATCAATAGGTTCTGCCTGTCTGTTTTATCACAGCACTAAAGAAGAGGCAGTCATGATAATGGGTTTAAAAAATGTTTGGTCATAAAACTTACAATAATAAACACCATTATTGTGTTTGAAATATTTTTTAACACCATGAAACGGACATATTCTTATACCAGTGTCATGGTGTAACATGTTATTAACTTGTTTTATCGTATGTTTATATATATATTAGTGCATATTGTATAAACACTATGGTACATGGCTCTTAGGCTTAGGCACCACACAGCAAACCATGTAAATCAGAAGCTGTTTACCACATATCAATTTTGAGACCGAACTTGTCTAATTAAAACCATAATGAGCTCTCACTTTCTGGTATCCTTGCCTTCATCTCTTGATTTAAAGTAAAATAATAACTCACATTGAAGAAAAAATGAAGAGGGATACAATGAGAGCAATTTTGCAGAGGTACTTGAGTGAAGTGCAGCCTTTGTGGATGTAACAGTGGAAGCACTTATATTAGTAGCTGGCCCACATGCTGAAAGTTGCTGCTAGAGCCACAGTCAGCAGTGCGGGGGCAGCAGAGGATGCCCCCTCCTTTACCACACAGTGTTGATACTCCTCAACGTCCACCTCTCGTATAGCACACACGTGATCAATACGGCAGTCTGCATCACACACTGTCAGGTCATAATTCACTGAGTTGAACTCGTAGTACTTCTGCAGGTAACAGTTTTCTCCTGCTATCCGTTCCAAAACACGATGCATGGAGGCTGGAGAGGCATCTGGCACTCTGAACGCTTCAGTCATACGATACTCCTTCTCCCAACGTGCACGTGCAATGTTTGCATGCGTCAGGTTCAAGTAATAAGTCACCATGTCCTAGATGATAATGATACAGAGATTTGCTTTGTCATTTTCAATAGAACATGGGATTAATGTCTGAAGAAAAAGGTCCAACAGTTTGCATATCATTGCTGTCCAAAAAAAAAAGAAACCTCTCCAAAATGTTAACTTTATTTAGAAAAAAGCTAGCAACGTTCTTAATTTTTAATTCAAGTTAATGTAAAGAAATTTACATGTAAGGAGAAGTTGTGTTGGACCATTTCTATTGGTCTATCCATCATAAAATTTTCACATAATGTAAACAGAACAGCTGCTGTATTCAAAAGAATAAAAATCAGAATGCTTCAAGGTGTTTCAGCCTGTCATACCTTAACCAAAAGTGTTTTGTCATCATACTCAAAAACTCGAATGCCAGGGTTATTTGCCCCATCCTCTACTCCAGGCAGTGTTGTTTTCCAAGGTGTAACTCCTGGAGTCAGGAACATGGCACTAATTGGAACTCCTGTGAATATACTTTGCTTTAGTTTTTTGTGGTAAAAACAAAAATCCAAGCATTTTAAAAGTAGGTTTGATTTCCATTCAAATTCCCAGTGTGCTAAAACAGTTTGCATTATTGTTAACCATGATAGCCACTAAATTTGTTGGCTATTAATGGTGACACACCTGATGTATCGTAGAACATTCGAAAGCTGTCAGTGTGGTGATGACCAAAGAACTGTCCGATTATGATAGCATGGTACTTCTGTATAAGCTCCAAGTAGTTTTTATTGAACTCAGACCGAAACCACGGCTTGTGACGCTTCTTCTCAAAGAAGCCAGGGGGGACGTGGCCCACAATGTATACCTATTTAAGAGAGACATCCAGTTATATAGCAGTCAATAGCAGAAGCATGCTCCTTATACCGTAGAAACCAAAATAAAGGTACACATCAAAACAGTGTGGGGAGAATTAGAAATTAAACATAAATATGACCTTTTCCTTGTTTTTGGTTGCTTCAGAGAGCACTTGATCTGCCCATTTAAACTGGTCTGCTGGATCTTTGATGTTTTCTGTGACACTGTTCTGGTCATAATACAGATTAGTGTTGAGAACCAGAACTCTGAGGCCAGTTTGATTTAGCAGTTTCTCTGTGTAATATCCACCTGAAATGAAAGATGAAATGAACACAAATACTGATGAGAAAGTAATATCTTGACTAAAGATCAGATCTATGGCCAAATATGCTTATGAGTTGCAAAAACATGGGAGAATTGTCTGAATTTGTTGCTGCTCAGTGTGGTGGCCAGCTTCTCTTTTACCTCTTTTAAAGGTATCTCTTGATGAAGGATCCAGCCAGTCTTCCCATAGCTTTTGTATTTGTTCATAGATGTTGTTTTGCTGAGGTGGCAGCTGGCTCTTTGGATGGTAGTCATGATTGCCCAGAGCTGAGTAGACCTTGGTGGCTGAAAACAACAAAAGCAAGCCTTTAAAAATATGAAGGTCCATAGTACCAGATTATCCTTTTTCCTATGCATTTAATTCTTATTTTTGGCAGCACATACTAGGAAACAGCACTTTTATGATGTGGGTGAGATTTCCAATTATTCTCAGGACCGCTTCTTCTCCCAGATCCTCATTGGGCACATGAGGTGTATCATCTCTGTGGAACATGATTTAAATATTTTGCATAAAACTTCAAATAAAACATTTAATCTGTTTTTAAATTATCAACATAGATTAAAATAACAAATGGTTTTAGAATTGTACAGTATATCCCGTATGTATGGAACAGTGTTTCTCAACCCAGTCCTTGGGACCTACCAGACAGTTCTACATTTTTGCTCTAACCTAGTGTGTTGAGATCTGGGACAGAGCATAAATGTGTCAAGTCAACATTTATTTATATAGTGCTATTTATAACAGGTGTTGTCACAAAGCAGCTTTACAGAAAAATCTGGGTCCAAGCCCCCATGAGCAAGCCACTGGCGACAGTGGCAAGGAAAAACTCCCTAAGATCAAGAGGAAGAAACCTTGAGAGGAACCAAGACTCAAAAGGGGAACCCATCCTCCTCTGGTCGACACCGGATAGCAAAATAAAACAAGAGCAATAAATGTGGAACTGTCAGGCCAAGACCTGGTATAGAATTATACATTTAAGATAATACTTGGAAAGAAAGACAATGAATACCCTGTCCAAATGATGAAGTCTGGATTGGGCAGGATATCCCTCATGGCATGCATTGATGAATTAATGAGGTCCCACGGTGAATCACAGAGATAGTCTCCAAATTTACCCGCATCTGGGGTTGGACGGTTTCCACTCGAGCTACAAACTGATGCTGAGTTTCCATCTCCCAGACTGTAGGTTGGATCCCAGTGGAGGTCTGTGATGTGCCAGAAGCTACCTGATATGAACAAACATAAAAAATGGATCAATCTAGAAACAGTTTGTATTGATGCCTTTTGTCCATCATGTATATGTTGGCTTATCCCTACTGCCCATGTTCATATGTTTCTCAAAACATGAATGTATTATAATATCAGAATCAAATCATTACCGGCAGATAATTGTTTAAAAAATAATCTTTGGCATCGGACAGATGTTCAGATTTGACCAATATTTCAAACTAATATTTATTGTACAGAAGAGCAGAATGTTTAGGCTACACAGGACTACTACTCTAAAATGCATTTGTAACCATACAAAAATGAATGTTATAGTTTTCCCTAATGATAATCCAGGTAGATTATAGTCCATATTTCTACTTTTCATTTAAGTGCTTATGTATCGGAGTCAGCATCGGCAAATGTGTGCATGCAAAATATCTGATATCGGCATCTGCACACAATTCCCATATCGCTGCATCCTCAACACAGGGGACCTACAAAATGTGTCCAGCTGGGATTTCTTCACTGCTTAAAATGTCCATGATTTTGCTTTGCGCTCATGTTCACATTGTTTCCTACAGTCTGCCCCATGCCGCCCTCCTGCCCCCAGTGTCCTCTTTCTTGAAAAACAAAATCTTAATTTTATCTTTAAATATTTTATTTAGATATTAATTTTACAAGGTTATCCTTAATATTAAGTTCCAGGTATACTTCCTACTGTTATTAGTCCTCATTCTTAAACTTATAAACAGTATACTTATAGACAAGTCTTCACAATTTTTACAGTGTTTCGGACAAATAGTTTACAGACTCACCTGTCAATACTTTGCCTTGCCCACACACAGTTAAAACGCTGAGAAAAAGAACTTTCCAGATGAAGTCCATATTGAGACACCAAGCTGTAGTCAAGATAGTCAGTCTAGGTCTCTGGATTAATTGTTATCCAACTGGAAAGGCATGCAGTTGTCAGCTGATGGTAAGCTGAATGATAAGATAGGCCAGCTGGAGCGAGCGGAATGACTGAGATAAATATCTCACCACTGCCAGAGGACATATCAGAATGATTTCTAGTCAGTGAACACTGTTGATAAAGAAGAGTTTAAAGATTAAGAAACTCAAGAGCTTCATGTCAGTCTCCCAACCCAAAACTATTCACAGAATAACTTTTTTGTATCACTGGTCAAAAGCTGCAGTAGCCCCATTCATCTAACAGCCTGAAGGAAAATAAGATGAGGACTTTGGCCATGCTCTGGAGGTCTGAAGCGATTAGCTGCTATGTGTTATCTATGGTTATTTTTGGCTGTTTTGCCTGCCCAGAGCTAAACACATGATGTTTGAAGCTTTGGATACATACATTGAATAAATTAATTACAATGGCTCTATATATTAATAAATGAATTAATAAATCAATGAAAATGCTCAGTTGGCTATCCCACTGACTGTTTAATGCAGTTTCCGCTTTATCTATTGATTTTTAGGGGTATTTCATATTGGTTAGGTTATGTGTTAATGAACAGTAAGTCTACATCACACAAAGTCCATAGCCACACCATAGCCTTAACAAAACATCCAGTAGGTTGTTACCCACTGTCTTAAAAGTACAACCATGTTGTAATTTGTTACACATTGCACATTACACGTGTTTACACATTGTTCATACCTTCCTGCCTTGTTCTACAGTGCTGTGTCTTGATATATGCTGGTACAGCATTTGTAGCCATTGTTGAAGTCATAGTTTTAGGATTTATTCCATAGTCAAAAGTCATCTTTACTGTCGCATAACTTTGCATTAAAATGAAAATGAATTTGTTTTTGAACCACCTTGGGATCCATAATCTACATCAAATTAAGCATTCTTGTGTATTAGTTTTAGGGCAGTGATGTCTATTGAACTTTGCATTTAGTTTGTGACCAGTTCATTTTCAGAAAACAATAATAAGAAGAAGATGAATAAAATCTCATTCTACTGTAACATTTGTTTAGTGCCTGTAGAGGGAGATGTGGCCACGTGACAGTAACCGCCAAACCCCACACACTTAAATGAATAGTGCGTTAAATAACGTGTGAAAAGAGTTGGAAGGGTTTAGTTACTTTCAGTGAATACACTGCTTTGCTCATCCACCAGTTAAACTGTGGGCTGAACTTAAGGCTGCTGTAGCTGAACTGATTGCCACCGTGGATACACCACAGGTCAATAGGCAATGATCAAGAGTAGAATTGAGTAAAGCTTTTTTACCCTTATTTTAAAATCGTGGGTGCAGTCGAGGCCACTGAGGCTATTACACAGATTGTAACAGAGCACTCATGGTCCAGTGTCTGTTTGACAGGAAGATGATGACTTCCTTCCTGTATGCATTCTTGCTGTGAAGACAGTCTAAAATTGCGTCCAAAACCACACAAGACCACACACGCTACATACTATACTGAAGGTAAATGCCAGCAGTGATAGTGATCCCTGTCATGGTAGTGAACTGTTTTGCGTGTGCGGTTTTGGACGCGATATGGCATAACCAGAATCCAAAATTCATATTATGTTTTTCATTCTCAGTCCTTCAGTTCACAGAATATTTAAAATATTTCTTTAAACACTGGGTTTAGATTAAGGATTGAGAAACAGCGGTATGTTAACTAGATAAAAGAATTCTTTGTTTCTATTGTTGTCAGAAGTTGTAACACATTTGTGTCAATAAAGTTTTTTTAAGGCTGGATTTCGCGGGAATATTTTGTGACGCATGCGCGCGAGAAGTGAGTTTGTGCGCGCGGAGTCCAACTAAACAACAATATCAGAGCTGCGAGCGGTCTGTGTGTTAGTGCTGCTGCTTTCTGACCCAAATAATCTCCAACAAATCTCACTTTCCCACAGAGTCCGAACATGTGGAACCAAGGTAGGCAGCTCTGCTGACTCGGCGTTCAGTGTTAACGTCCTTTTCACAGCACTGAGTCTGTTAGCTAATCGGTTAGCAGCCGCCAATGCTGGTTGAACAGCTACAATGAGGTGTGAGTTAACGTACTGGGGTGTTACTCAGCTGTTTTAAACCGTTGAAACCTTGCGGAGTGCTAAAACCAGGTTTAACCTCGCTAGCTCTGCTTTTCCTGGTCTTTTACTGGCTAGCTAGCTAACTACAATGTTAGCGGTTATGCAGACCGGTGATGTTTTAATTATATTATGAGTTCAGTTCACTACAGAGGACTAACTTACATACACGTTTTCCGTTTGGAGCTCTTCCATTCATTCAGACCAAAAAGGCAGAAATATAGCTACAGCAGCGGGTTTGCTACGCCGTAGCTGCTTGGCCAGCCGTGCTGAGGTTGCCGTATCCTCGCTGTGAGTAGGTCACTCTATCAGAGAGACAGACCCGGTTGTGCCTGCACTTTGCTAGAAAGTTTGCCAGTTAAATTTAAGGACCTGCCAGGCTGCCCCCCCCCCTTCAGGGAAATAACAGATTTTTATAGGTAACCCAAGGAAACTGTCTCTTTTAAGAAGTCAGATGATGTGCTCACAGATCTTCTATGTGCGTTTTATTAAATAGCTTAATTTGAGGTTTGTGTGTTAATAATGTGTTTAGAGACTCAATAATAGCATTTAGATGAAATGTCTTTGTATATAATCTTGGACGAACAAGGCTAGATTTAACAGTAATGTAATTAATCTACTGCAAAAGCACTGGAAGTTCTAATCTCTATACGTTTACTGTACTTTAAATTGTGTAAGTAAACTCATCTGTGCAATTTTCTTCAGAGTTGGCAAGGTAACTATTAAGTAAATATCCATGGTTTGGCATTCAGGCACTCAGAAATTGTTTTTTAATTCAGATGCACAATTTAGTTGGACTGCCCCATAATCATATTTGGTGATGTGACAGGATGCAAGATATACTGTTTGAAGGGTACAGCCTTGATGCAGGATACTGAGACTTGCAGAGGCACTCCACTGTCAGTGTGTTGCTGACAGTGAACTGTATGGCTGCCTGATCCTAGTTTAGCTGGGTGTAAAATGTTATTGTTATTTTTTATTTATTTGTTCCCCCCCCCCACTCTCTCCTCCTCGTAGGATCATATGGAGAGGCCAGCATGGGTGGTGGTTACACACAGTCGCCAGGGGGATTTGGCTCACCTGCTGCCTCTCAAGGAGGAGACAAAAAAGGGGTCAGTCTTAACTTTTTTTTGTATTGTCTGAAGACTAGACCCAACACTGTAATTTACTGACACATTGTGATTGTTTAAGATGAGTGTCATGTGTAAGTTGTCAGTTTTAATAGACATACCTTTCATCATTTTATTTGTTTGTTTGTTGCTGTTTTTGTTGTAGAGGACACGCGCACAGCAGATAGTTCCCTGCACAGTGGCACAGCTCATGTCTGCATCCCAGGCAGAGGATGTATTCAGAGTAGGCGATGTTGAGGTTGCTCAGGTGCGTTTTTCAAGAAACGGTCTGATTCTCATATGCTTAGATTGTCTTTGTAACAGTGAATTGTCTTGCAAATAGTTACTTTTCATCAACAGTAAATATTTTTTGAATGTTAAGTTTTCTAAGGGCACGTTTATAACTGGAGAGATATTTTCTTTTCGTTAATATTGGCAGTTTTGTGTTTTTCTAAAGGGGAAGGATTTTTATAACGATTGCTCTTTCTGTAGGTCACTATTGTTGGAATCATCAGAAGCACAGATAAATCCATGACTAACATCCAGTACAAAGTGGATGACATGACAGGGGCCCCCATGGATGTGAAGCAGTGGGTTGACACAGAGGTAGGGAAAAAGAGGTGTTTAGATGACAAAGCATTTTTTTTCTTGAAAGTGTCTTTAAATGAAATGGTCTTTTGGCAAATGTCAGTTTTTGAACTTTAGATGACATAAAATCAATTATAAATAAATTTTAACTATGTGTTTACATTTGCTGGTGAAACTCCCTCATTCTTAGGATCCCAGTGTGGACAGTTCAGTCATCCCTCCTAACACATACGTCAAGGTCTCTGGCAACCTACGATCTTTTCAGGTCAGGATCTCTACATTTATGTCTGATCTGTCACTTATATTAGTCCTTACATTTCCTTACACTTATATTAGTCCTTCTACATTTCCTGATTAGGACATCTAAATGTAGAAACAATGCCACAGTGAAATGCAAATGAAAAAATGTCATGCAGTGGAGGAAGTTCATCATACACTTGCTGATGTTGTTCTGCATGTTGTAGTGTTTTCCCTGCTCTGACGCACCCAGTTTACCTTAGGAAAAACTTGTTAATTAGTTAGGTGCAGGAGAAATGTGTAAGGCAGTGATACTTTAAGACCAAGTTTGTGCACTGCTGACCTACAACCTCTGGCAAACATTATGGAATCATCACACTTGGAGGGTGTTCACCCAACTTTTTTTCTTCACAGCCAATAAACAGATCACAGATATGACATAAATCTACTTTTGTTTAACAGCTGGGTTCATGAAACATACCTCAAACAAGTAAAGTTAAACTTTTTTTAATTAATGGCATGTCTTTTAAGATCAGGCAGAGGAAAATATTATGGTATCTCCCAGTGTTGAGGAAAAAAATATGTATGGGATTATTAACAAAAAAAAAGCATATTTAGTACTTTGCTGCACCTCTGCGGGCTTCTATAAGGCATGGGCTCCATTAATAAGAAGTAATAATCTACATCAAGCTGGTTCCAACTTTCCTGAATAGCAGCTGAAAGATCAGCTTTGCAAGGATGGAGCCTTCTCATTCACCATTTTCCGCCGGACTGTTGGCCTTTTCATTGAGTTCATACATCTTTCCTGAAGAAAAGCTTTAACTGTTTTTGCTCTCTGGCAAGAAAAATGACCACCACCAAGCCTATTTTATGTAGATGGAATAAATAGTGTCCAAAATTTCAGTGTCACCTGTGCATTGACTGTTGAGGTAATGATTGCCACCTCCCCTGGTCCTTTACCTGACACCCATACCCATATCGTAATTGAGTGGGGAAATGTGTTCTGTTTAGGTTTTTTATAAAGCAGGTTCTTTTTGGTTTTTCTTTATGTAAACCCCATTTCATTCAGCCTATTTCTTACAGTTCTTACAGAAATCAAGGCATATTGCTTTTAGTTTGCTATCCTGATGCTTTGACGTCTTGCTTGGTCTACCTGTACGTTTTTCTTTTATAATCTTCCCATTTTGTTTAAACATGCACCAAATTTTAGACACAGCCAACTGGGAACAACCAACATCTTTTTCCACACTCTGTATTAGATTTTCTTTTAGTTGGAGCCATGTTTTCTTTCGATTAGCCAAATTCACCAGCTCGTTAAAAGCACTCCCTTTAAACTGCAGAGTGATTTGCATTTTTAGACTTGTGCCGGTAATTTTTTTAGAAATGCAAATTAGGTGAGTCCATTTTTTTCCTCAACATTGATTCCATCATTTTTTCCTCTACTTGATCTCAGAAAAATATATGCCATTAATTCAAATAATTTTATTTAATTTGTTTGAGGTTTGTTTCACAAAGCCAGAATGTTAAGCTATTAAACACAAAACATTGTGAATAATTCCATAATTTGTTCATTTGCTTTGAAGTAAAGAAAAGCTGGATGAATATCCTCTAAATGTGGTGATTCCATAATTTTTCCAGGGGTTGTCAGAGATGTTTACTTTTTTTTTTTGTTTGTTTGTTTATTTATTTTTATTTTTATTTTTACCCGATTTTCTCCCCAATTTAGTCGTCTCCAATTCCACCCGCTAGTTAGGACTCCCCCAATCACACGATGCTATCAACGCTAGGAGGGTAAAGGCTAACACAGGCTTCCTCCGAGACCTGTGAAGCCAACCACCGCTTCTTTTCGAACTGCCGCTCACGCAACGTCACTGGACGGCCGAACGCGCTCGGAGGAAAGCGCCAACAGCCAGATCTGTTACGTCAGCTAACAGACGCCTGCGCTGACTAGCATCGCGCTGAGTGATGGGGGGAGAAGGAAGGGCCATCCCACCCACCCAGAGAGAGCGAGGCCAATTGTGCTCTCTCGGACTCCCGGCTACGGATAGCTGTAGCATCACCAGGGATCGAACTTGCGATCTCCTGATGATAGGGCCAACGCTTAGACGGTTGCGCCACTCGGGAGCCCTACTTTTTTATTTTTGAATCATAGCTACCAAATTAATGTAGCTAACAAATAATGGAAGCTCAAAGCGACTAGGTTAACATTGTGCAAGCTGCATGCCTAAATTGTGCCTCAGACTGTGTTGAGTTGTTAAGTAATCCCATTTTACAAAATACATTGTGTTATTGGAACTACTTATTTGTATTTTACTGTACTTTTGTATTTTTTACGTAGATAATGGCATACCGATTCAGTGTCATAAACATAAGCAAGTGTGTGTGAGATTTTAGTAGTGTCCTGTATAAAATTAAATAAGCAAACTTGAGACACTAAACGTGTCTTGGTCGATTGCCATCCATTTGAAGTGGCTGTTAGTGTACAACAATACACGCTTTTCAATCAAGCAGATTAATTCAGCTCACTTTGTGTCTCTTTAATACACTGCAGTTTTCAGGGATGCAGTTTTGTGGTTTAACCAAAAGCCAGTGTACTGAAACCTGAAATTGAATTTGTCTCATAGAATAACAGGTCCTTGGTGGCATTCAGTGTTCGGCCTTTAGAAGACATGAATGAGATCACTTCGCATATGCTGGAGGTGGTGCAGGCTCATATGCTTCTCAGCAAACCACAGGCCATGGTGAGAAATACTCCGCACCCTCACAAACCCGTAAAGCTTCCTGTGCGTGTATAGAGCAGAGCAGAGCTGAGCTGACCAGTAGGCTGTTGTATTCATTTGCCATGTCTGTTCTTATTGTTGACTATAGTGACAATGGCATTATTGTGTACAGTGAACATACTGCACTTTACATCACTGTGAAACATGCTGCATGAAAGGGACAGAATGAGTGGATCAGTTAACAGTTGGCCAAATGTCCTGTCTTAACATAAACTCACAGAGCCACAGCACACCAGGTGGACCGAACAATGTTGTTTTAGAATTACATCTGTTTTTTTTTTTCCTTTTCCCAGGCAGGGGGAGGAGGAATGAACAGTAGCATCATGCCCATGTCCCGCCCTGGCATGGGTGGCATGGGTAGTATGGGCATGACTGGTGGCTATTCTGGTGCTAATGCTATGGCCAATAACGGACTGAGCCCTAATCAAAACCAGGTGAAAACTTGTTTGATTTGTAATATGAATGCTTAAGCATCAAAGCACATTATTAGCAGAATAGAAAAATCACTTGTTTTCCTGACACACACAGCTTAAGTGAGTGATTCTTTAGAAGGAGGTTATTGGTGACAGGATAATGTTGATATTCAGTGTATTTCCCATTGTTAAGGAAAAAATAACTGTCTGGCATCATACTGTGCAGAAAAGATGGTGAAAAGAATGGCTAAAATTACAGCTAGTGCATGATTGTGCTCTCTGCTGTGCAGGTTTTATCTCTGATAAAGAGCTGCCCAGAGCCTCAGGGCATCAGCATACAGGAGCTGAAGCAGAGACTAAGTGGCATGAGCGTGACTGTTATCAGGTACCTGTGTTTTCTTTGGAGACCTTCTATACGCCCACCAACATATACACACTGTCAGGATCATCTAAGGAAAAATGTTTGGCATTATAGTCCCATGTTGAATTGATACAAGCACTTGTGTCATTTTTTTTTTTTCTATTGCTGCAATCTCTGTAGTTCAGCTATCAGAGTGGTGCTACTGGAGTTCCTCTTAAAATACTTCCTCTTTTTGGTTTTTATAAGAAAGCAAGATTTTCAAAACTTGCTTCAGGGTGTTTGCCTATGTGACATTTTCACGGTACAATAACTAGGTGAAAGAATATCACTGTTTCACTGGTATCATGGTGTTAAGCAATGTATTTATTGTACTTTGGAGGAGCAGATTTTTTAGCCGATTCTGAGCTACTGTGGTAAAATGCAAACTTAGTTGTTTTTTTGTTTTGTTTTTTTTTGTTGGTTCTGGGATGGTTGCAGATAAGGGTCTCATCTTGAAGTTCTGTTGTCATAGTTTTGAGAGTGATTCAGCCAAAAAAAAAAGGTCTGTAACTGGTGACCTGGGGCAGTGTCCACTGCATATGTAGTTAGCCAAGCAGCAAACTTCATTATATTATGGGCCACTTTCACAGACATGGGTTAAGCCTAGTGTTGGAAAGTGAGGTGAGGCATTTTGTCTCTGTTGTGTGTGATAGTCTCCATGTAAAGAAATGTGAAGAAGGCTGTATTGTTTCAGCAGGAGTCAAGAACAAGGGGGGCACAGCTTAATTTTCCAATATATTTTAAAGTATATTTACCAGCAATCAACAAAACATGTTTATCATCTAGGTGAACCAGTTTCCATCCATTTTTTTAGTGATATTCTCTTAGAACTCATCTTGGGGACTGACAGATATGATACTATGCTAATCACAGTCTATTTTTATAATTTAGACCTAGCTGGAGAACTAATTATTTCTTCGTGATTTTTTTCATAACATGGCAGTAGATGCAGCATGTCATAATTATGGAATGGATTATCAAACAAATCCTTGGAGGACATGGATTTATCTGTGGATCAGAGAACTCCTAGTGAGCCTTAAACTTCTCTGACCACTCTGACTGGCTTATACAATTGTGTGGTATAATACCTCTCACAGCACTGCTATCATTATAAAAGTCTTGTATAATGGTATTGCTTAAATAAGCTAACTTAATTTACTTGAACAATTAGTGAATGTTGTATTATTATTATTATTATTATTATTATTATTAATTATTATTATTATAGTGATATGACGCTGAAGTCAAGGTAGCTTGGTGAATAAATAACTTTATAAAATGACAAGTCTTTAAAAAAGCGATCGACACACCAAAATCCTGTCCTGCATCCCTATCCTATATCCTGACACTACTATCATAGACACTTGTGTGACAAATCCTATATATATATATATATATATATATATAATGTATGGTTTTCTTTGAGGAGCTTTGTTTCTGTGATTACAACACTGAAATGGTCTGGTGATAGTGATAGCACTTTAAAGGAATGGTTTTTGCAAAAAAATCTAATTTACCCAATTTTCCCACTTACACCAGATTTTGTGAATCAGCCAAGGCATGTTTGGTGTCCAAATTTTACTTTTTTACTTTAGAACTGGAGCTACAATAAAACTAGAACTCAGTAGTCACCTAAAATAGCCCAAATTGTTTCTGTAAAAATACATCCCCAAAACTTCTTTCTGCTGGCTTAAACTGCATCCAGCTCTTTGTTAAGGTCACACAGACCCATTCGTATGGTTTAGAACACGGTATGACTGTCTGTGAACTATAAAAATGAACAAAACAGACAACACCAGAGCTGATATTCACAAAGCAGAGCTGATCTTGGAATAGATTTCTCTGTATTTGTGATGTCACAACCACTGATTCTAGACCTGCACTCCAGCTCTTGTGGTGGTTTGCGAATACAGACCCTGTTGTTAATTTTTATAGCTCACAGTAAGTCAAACTGTGGCCTGAACCACATCGACAAATCTGCACAACCTTAATAAAGACCTGAACATGAGAGATGTTTTGGTGATGTATTTTTTTTTTTTCCAGATACATTTGGACTGTTTGGGTCACTATTGAGTTGTAGTGGTAGCAAAGTTAGCCTCACTGCTCCAGCACAGTGCTCTGTGCATGTCTTAGCGAATCGATCACATCTAGGGTAAGTGGAAAATTGTGTAAATCTGATTTTTGGCCAAACCATTCCTTTAAAGCACTGAGTTTTTTTTCCTTGAGTGGGATTTTCATTTTCCATTTTATATACAGACAGGTTGTGGACTTTCTCAGCAACGAAGGACACATTTTCTCAACTATCGACGAGGACCACTTCAGATCAACGGATCAAGAGGCTTAATGGCTATCTAGCACCTTTTGTTGCGAAAGAAGTGTTATGGCATACCATCTCTGTTGGCTCACTAGTTATACAAACAGATGTCCTTCACACGTTGTATTTACTGCAAATGCTCATAAAATGGTGAAGTCAGGAAGTGGTGAGTTCACTTTTAGCAGAACTACATTTGGTGTGAATGTAGGCATGTTAACTGTTCATAAAGTTTGTTTAAAAAGGAGTAAGCATTTACAAAGTTGTTGATAAACAATTTTAATATAAAAGTACACAATATCTGTTCTTTAAACATTTTCTGTTTAAAATAAATGGTTTTGTAATAGTCTTTGTTTTCATCTCTGGAGTTTGCTGTCTCTTAATTTTGCTACATGCTAATAAAATTAAAAACAGAACCCCTTATGTTCCCTGTTAGATTAAATATTTTCCAGAATAACACACATTCGCTCTCATGCAGCTCAATATGCAAACCTGTCGATTTAAAAAAAAAAACAAACAAAAAAAAACATATTGCTACCTCTTCCCAGATCTCATTTAGTAAAACATGATACTGTCATGGACCTGTATCACATCATCCACAGTTTCGTAGTCATGATCGCTGCCTGAGGATGTCCTTTCTGTTCGGGGAAAAGAGGTACAGAAATGTTGATTCAAAAGCAGAATATCTCTTCAAATGAGCTTTTAATATGGTAGCATTGAGGCTTTTTTATGGATAATGGCAATAAAGGATTAAAACTTTATCAGTTGAGAACCGACCTGTGTGGTGCTGCTTTTTCTGCTGTTTCCTTGGGGTCTGCACATATGTATTGGGTGTAGTCAAATTCTCTGAGACAGACTTTCTAGGTATCACTGGAGGAGGTTCTTCTGCAGACTGATTTGCACAAAGAAATGAAAACCATGCAGTTTGCAAGTTGGAGACTTATCAAGCTATTTCATTTGGAGTAAAGGGGATTTTTGGTCTTTAGAAAGTAACAATAATAACTTCAAAGGCCACAACATACTGTTCACCATAAATGTTATTTTGAAAGCATTAAAATTTGAATTTTGAAGCGGAGAAGTAATAACAGCCAGCACCCTGGTTTGAGTCAGAGGCTTGATTTCAATTACAAACCTCAACTGCATTAAAACTGGCCTGCTTCTGTGATGAATATCACCACATGAGCTCAGGAACACTGACAAATTGTTGTCAGTAAACTGTGTTGCTGCATCCACAAATGCAAATTAAGAATATATTATGTACAACAGAAGCCATTTGTCAACAAAATCTACAAAGATTGCTGACCTCTCTGGGCTTAAGCTCCTTTAAATGTACAACGGTACAGTGGAATAGATTGTAGGGTGACGAGTCAGCCTTGCAGAATGCTTATAGAAATAATGGACATTGTGTTCTCAAGGCCAAAGAAGAAAAGGACCATCAAGATTGCTACCACTCTAAAGTTGAAAAGCCAAGGTATGTCATGGGATGGGGGTGTATTAGAGTCCATTGCACGGGTAACTTGCACATTTGTCAAGGCACCAATAACACAAAGATGTATACACATTTATGCTGTTATCTAAACCCTTAGGCCTCATTCACCAACCATTCTTAAGAAGATTTTTTCTTAAAACCCACAGTTTTCACAGAGATTCTGACATTCACTAATGTTTTCTTATTTGGGATTTGTTCTTGGGTAAGAACAGAAGTCACACACAACAGCACAAAGGTGCAAACAATTCTGAAGTTTAAGAATGTCATGAGTCTGACGTGGACTTTTTCTTTGGCCATTTCTCAAGAACATATTTAGGAAAAAACCTAGAAAGATAGTGGTGAATGAGGCCCATTGTTCCCAACCCTGACTGTTTTAAAACTAGATCAATTGGTGTGTTCAGCCCCCAAATAATTATTCAGTGCTAAAAGGAAAGCTGAAAAAACACAGTGGTAAACATGGTCCTGCCCTGAACTTTTTTTGGGAAGTGTGACAGGCATCAAATTTGGAATGAGCATATATTTATATTAAAAAAAAAGATCATGAAGTAAAACATTTATACATCTTTACATTTACATTTGTTTTTTTTTTTTGTTTGTTTGCTTGCTTTATTGTTTTCAGTTCAATTTCGTTCAAACAGCTTTTTGTTTTTATTAGCATTTCACATACATTAAGGTTTACAAATGCAAATTTAAGACTTCAAGATGAAGTTTAAGAAAATGCTTACTTCAAGTGGTGGTGGAGGTGGTGGACTGCGCTTGCTTAGGGCGGGCTTTGTGTGGTCCAGAGACAGATTGTCCAGTTTTTCAGGGAGAGTGCTACTTTTTTTGTTTGCACGAGCTTTAGGCTTACCACGCGTTTTCTGGGGTTCTGAGGATGATGGCTTGCGCTTTGGAGGACGTGGAGGTGGAGCCATATCTGTCTGTGTAAGCCTGTGATATTCATGATAGAAATGGTCTGTTACCTCAGTGACAGTCTCTAGGTGAAGCTCAGGGGTCTGGCCTTCAGCCCAGGGCAAGGGGTCTGAGGTGAAGCACAGAGACATTTGCAACCAACGGGTTGGCAAAGCAAAGCACTGCTCCGGACTGTCAGGCAGGCTTGCAAGCACTGTGGTCTCCTCTAGAGCCTCTTCCAGTACCACTGCCGTTAACCCTACCAATGGGTCTTTTTCCAGAACTTTATCACGACTTACTACTTTGACTTCAAGAGGCAAGGAAAAGTTCTTTGCTATACCTGTTAAGCAATACTTCTTCTTGTCTGAAAGCTTCTCTACAAAGTGGGCCTCAGTAAACAAAGGCAGGCAGATCTCTTCACTTTCTTCCTGATTCTCATCTTCTTCATCATCATCTTCATCCTCCTCTATGATCCTTTTGCAGATCAAGCTTTCCAGCTTCTGTGCAGGTCCCAAGTCACCTCCTGATACCTCCACTGTCTGTAACTTCAAAACCTCCAGTAGTTCACCAACACTAAGAGCAGGCACCCCTTCCTCTTCCACTGCCTCACAGTGTCTTGTCACACTTACTTTCAAGCCAGGACAGCGAGAGAATGCTACATACAACTCGTACACTGAGCTAAACTCCCTTGGTCTTCTCCGCATTTGGCCACCATAGCCATGTGAAATCAGGAAGTATTGTTGGGCTTTCCTCCCCCTTGGGGTGCATGCTAACACCATTGCTGTATTGTCCCACTTGTGCAACACAAGGTGTTTGCCTTTTTGCAGCTCTTTGAACCAACTGCAGCAAAAGAACCGATTGGCCTCGGGGCCTTCCAGAATCTCTGCCATGGTAGGAAAGGCCGTTTTTGGCTGAGTGACTACCTCAGCCATCGATAGTGGAGTTACAAATGTTAAATCTTTACTTTGTTCAGTCACGTCAATAACATCCACTTCCAAGCTGGAGGGGAACTTCACTATGTTCTTTCTCACTGTGAAAAAAGCAAAAATGTCCATGCATTAAATGGTGAAGCTTATTGCACACAAAGAGTAATGATTAAAAGAAGCTATTAGGTGAGACAGACTGGTAATACGCACTGTGCATGATGCCTTGGATTTGATAGATCGGAGCAAAAAGCAATGGACCACCACATTTCTTTGATTTTATTTTGCGGAAGCGTCTCCTGCACAGCCTGTCTGACATCATAATCTCTTGCAGAGAGTAGCCACGATCATTCTCACACTCATAGAACTCTCCGTGGTAGGAAAAGGGAATAAGCATATCTGCAGAGGCTCCCTGCTGCCCCATTAGCTGACAACGGGCACATCTCTCCCCATCTTCAGTGACCTCCACAGACAACAACGTTATCTCTTTTCCAGCTGGCACCGTGAAGTTGTCTATGATCAGCTCATTTCTACTGATGAAGGTGAAGGAGCCGCAGGCATCCACACCGACAGGTTGCAGGCCTACTACTTCTTCTATTGTACTGTAGGGTAGGTCTTCAGGAACCAGTTTGAAGAGACCTATTCACACCCATGATAGTATTAACAGTGGAAATTCAAAATAAGGCATTTCAATACCTCTTTTGCTGTTCACATTTTGTCAGCCACCCTCTACCACATCCATCAATGGGCTGCCACCGAACCACCATTGACATAACAATATTTGTGTTGTGCAATGTTCTTAGCACAGCAGTTATACCAACATGGTAGTGGCATGTTAGTGGGTGATGCACTGGTGTGAGCTTGGCTTTTAAACATGCTTTATTAGACACATCTATCCTTGCAGGTATACAGTTAGCTTATCTTTTTCAGTGCACAGTTTATGTTAGTCATCCTCTAGCCATTCTCTGGTAGTCTGTCTGCAGAACTACTGTAGGGTGGACATTTTTGGTTGGCAGACTATTTCAGTAACAATGAGATGTGTAAACATACCAGCAACACTGTTGTGCCTGACATCCTTGTGCTAGCACAATACACACTAACATACGACTACAATGTTCGTGCCATTGCTGTGCTGAAAATGATCCATCACCCAAATAATATTTGGTCAGCAGTGACCCTGTGGTCATTTCTCCATTGATGGACAAGGTAGAGGGTAGTTCATAAACTGTGCATAGCAACAGGTGGACTGCAGTCCATAATTATAATAATTGTACTGTCAATAGAGGCATCTTCAGAGCAGATGTACATGATAAATTGGTCAGTGCATGTAGGTACAAGGTAGTTGTCCTAATAAACTAGCAACTCATATTTCATTTTTATTGCGTGTACTACTGGAAATTAATCAAAGAAGCAAGGTGTTCTAACACAGAATGATAAACGAATTAGATAACTTTTTTTGTGACGGGCAAAAAGTATGAAATGCTACAAAATATATTGGTCCTCTGCTATATTCAGATATTTTAAACAAAATTTAATACAAGACAGCCTGAGTACACACAAAGTCTTTAAATGACCATTTCATTTGTTGAAGGAAAAAAAGTTATCCACCACCAACTACAAAGTAATTGCCACATGGTAATTAAAAGTAATTACCCCCTCAATCAACCAACTGACCAAATTTACTTGATAACTGAGGTTAATTAAACTAGACACACACAGGCTTGATTATTGCCAGCCCTGTTGAATCTAAACAACACCTCAACACTGTACCGCAATTAGTCTGAAAAGGGTTACAAAATAATTTCTAAAGCTCTGAGATTCCAGCGAACTACACTGAGAGCCATGACTTACAAATGGACAATAACATTGCTGAATCTTCCTTGAAGTGTCTGGCCCACCAAAATTCCAAAAAAGGAGCACAGCGATGACTCATCCAGGAAGTCATAAAAAAAAACCCAGATGAACATTTGAGGAACTTTTGAATGGCTTAAAAGAAACAAAATTCAGGTTTTGGAGTTGCCTAGTTGAAGTCCTTGACTTGAACCCCATAGAAGTGCTGTCGCAGGACCTTAAATGGGCAGCTCTTGCTCGAAAGCCCTCCAATAGGCCCAAATTAAAGCAATTCTATAATGAGTGGGCCAAAGTTCCTCAAAAGTGATGTGAAAGGTCTCCAGTTATAGAAGCATTTGGTTGCAGTTCTTGCTGCCAAAGGTGATACAAGAAGTTATTATATATTTTTTTTTTTTTGGAGGGGGGGTAGATTTCACATGGGTGTTTTTCTTCAATAAATGAAATTATCATTGAAATTATCTGAACATTGTTTTTTGTGTTTCCTCAAGTTCGCCTTGTCTGAGGATCTGAAACCATTTAGTGTGACAAATATGCAAAAATATAGTTGATTGGAGGGGGGGGGTACTTTTTAACAGCCCTGTAAATCAGTATCCCCAGTATCCCTAATTATTTTACAATTTTTAATAATTTAAACATTTATGGCCTTTTTAACTTTGGAAATTACCGTTCTGCATCACTACATGTGAAAGCCAAGATATGACTCATCACAGACAAACTGAGAACTTACTGTCAGTGCTCTCATGCTCTACATGCTTTCATTATAGCTTTTTTCAGTATTTTCAAAGGTCTTTGCAATTACCATTAAATGTGAGTTAAAATGTGTTTAATCTTTGTGTTTATTTGCTACGTCAGTACACACCTGAATGTTCTAGAGGCAGTTCGAATGTGGTGTTGGTGCTAATGTCTTCACAACAGATGGACAGGAGTTCCAAACCAGTGACCTTCACCAAGTCTCCAGTAGACAGGCACACCTCGCTCCCGGACAGCTCATACACTGAGCCTGATAACAATAATGGTGTCAATGCATTATTTCACACAGCAGAGATGTAGTAAAACTTTGACTAGAAAACATAATATGGTAACTGTGTGACGTCTCCAGTGACCACTGTTTGAAAAAGACTGAATTCGTAATAAATTACCCTCACAGTGGGTGATTCTATTGTGAATCTGTAGTAGCACTTGTGAAGTCAACTGAAGCCGATGCCTCTGATACTTTCTATTGTAGTGTCATTACTGTGTTCACAAACTTAGGTTAATTAAAGATTAAATAATTTCTGAAATTTGCTTTAATGTTTACATGCCATGTTCCTAGGGAAAAACAGACTTTAATCCATTTTGTTAATTTCAAATATTATGTTTCATTCACACCGTCTTTCTGTGTGCAGTAATCAAGAAAATGCCTCAAAGACTAGCTGGTATAATGTTGTGATTGTGAACACCTGTTCTTTTTGCAGTGACAGGGCCAGTAATCTTAAGTTATTACCCACTTAGCTGAACAAAATAGAAAGGCCAAACAATAGAGCACTGTGCAAAAGTCCACTCTTCATTTATTTAATTTTCAGTAAAAATGACCATTAAATACAAGTTATTCATTTTCAGGAGATTTCTGAGGAAAATAGAAGTAGGATAACACACTTGCATGAGGGAGGTGAAAATCAAAGGAAAATAAGTGAAAAAAAGTAAAAGTTTCCAAATCTAGAGTTTTTAAAAGAAAAAGAGTAAATGAGATTCCTAACGACCATGTATTAAAACTGTTAACATCAGGAAAACAATAATTAAAGCTTTTTAATTTTTCTTTGAGAGATAGGAGAAAATTAAGCTCCACTCTCGCTTTAAATCTAAAAATATCCAGTTGTTTCTGCATGAAAGGATGTGTAGGTGTCAGGAAGCTGTTTTCTGAGAACAGAAAACAAAAGGTAATGGACTGGTCACCTCAAACTCCTGACCTCAACATCACTGAATGAGTTTAGGATTATTTGGATCATCAGAAGCAGAAAATGCAGCCAACTTCTAAGACTGAACTTTGGAGCTATAAAAATATCCCTGCAGATTTCTTTGAACAACTGAAAGTGAGGCTCTTATAAAGAACAGAAACTGTAATAAAGGTAAAGTGTGTACCCACTAAATACCGAAAAAACAATAATAAAACATGTATTTTATACATACATATTTAGTCATTTAGTCATTGAGGCTTCTGTGTATTTTTTTGTGAACTATGCTTTTGGCTTTTGTCCCTGACCCTGAGAAATAATTAATTTCAAAATGTCTTTCTGCCTTTAACACAGCACTGTATATTGGCAATTGTGGTCTTTAAAAACCAGCCAGTTAAAGTTTAGCCAATAGTAAATTTAACCAAATGAAAGGGCCCTGTCATGCACAACCAGCTCTCTGGATTCCTAATAAAATACATCACAGGGTGATGGTGGTCCTGGAGGCCCACTGCCCTGTACTTTATTGTTTTCCCTGCTCCTAAACAGCTGATCCAAATATTCAGCTCCTCAACAGCCCATTATCGAGTTAAAGTGGGTGTGTTAGGCCCTCTTCACACATAGCCTATTGCTTCTGCGTGGCCTGAGCGTAGCAGCAGCGTGACTGCTACAGCTCTCAGGCGCTGACTGTTCCTACGTACGGCAGTGCTGCGGAGCGGTGCCGCAAGAAAGCTACACCAACATCCCTTTTTACAGATACATAAATGGTCTAATTTGTCACTCTGCTCTATAAGAACATAATTTGTAAAAGATTGGGTACGTTTGTTTATCCTAACAAGCATTCTGACTTGTGACTGGGCCCAGGACATTTGTGTGCAGCACAGAATGTATAACCAGCATTTCCTGTGATAAAGTTCGTGAATGAAACTAAATGAAGGAATTTGCTTTTTTTTAAAAGTTTGTATTTAGGTTTCTGCAGGGCCTTGTGTGTGTGTGTGGGCTCGTGTGAAAGCAGAGCTGAGAAACACTGGTGTAGTGAATATTGAGGAAAAAATAAGAGGACAAAATAAGACTTTTGAACACTGAACTGAAATAGTACATTTCAGCCTTTCATACAAAATAGCCTGGACCTCTTCCAGCACACTCACCATCCTACAGAGCTGATTTATCACCCTAATCCCAACCTAACCTATGGAAAGAAATTTGTGCCAAATTGAAAAGTAATCACTAAAGTGGAAAAATGTGAAATGACATTGCTTACACACACATGACATTACTTTTCTGAAATGCTGATTTTTTGTCAGAATTTAATATAATCTGCCTTGAAATATGTTGAAAGAATGACTATATTGTTTTCCACCATGCAGCACTTAAAACAACTTTAAATCAACTGAATGGATCTTGTACTTTTCATTTTGGCACATTTTCCTCATGTCACTGTTTAAATGCAATCTTGTGTGCATTGCATTTCACTGTTTTGGGTGCATTTCAATGAGGCAAACACATTTGAAGTACGAAAAGAGGTCAAGCAACAAGAAAACATTGTACTCAAGGTATTGTTTTTGCACTTATTCCGCATGTCACGTGTGGAACAGTAATGTGTGCATTGTGTTTCACTGTTTTCACTGTTAGGAGGAAAACCAGTTTAAAGTACTGTACGGTGAAAAGCAGCGCAAGTGTGCCTTCTTTACATGTTAAACTGGACTGTATTGGAATCAGTATGGAAATTTGGACTGTATTGGAATCAATATGGAAATTTATGTGTGCATTGAATTTCACATTGTTACACTGGATGATAGCTGTTCTATTTGGCACGAATTCCTCTCTATACTAACTTACTTCCAGATACGGGCTGAAACTAGTCACTGGTTTTTCACTCTGTTACATTTACATTTACATTTGTACTTCCCTGAGTATTTTTTGCTGATAAGGATGTTTATGAGGAAATCAATGTACTTTTTACTCGGTTCCATTTTAATCATAAACGTAATAAAATTTTATAAACTAATTTCTGTTTTATTTTTTAATTTTCATTCTGTTTTCTTGGTGACAGAATCTACAGCCCTTCTGAGGTTGGTCACACCTCTGGTTTTGGAGCGTTAGCGTTTTATTTCAGATCAAAAAGAGAAGAAAAGCTTAAGATCTGATATTCAATACTTAAACAGTTCTGGACCTGCAATGTTTGAACTTCTGTTTTTAAGTTGGTTTGTGGAAAGATATTCCTGCTCTGACTCGAGTCTTTATTTTACCAGAGTAACACTATCTGTGCGTCAGAGTGAGTTCAGTCTCGTCTGCACGCCTGCAAAGTGTTGATGAGCATCTGAATGCTGGATCCAGGAATGTACTTCCCTGAGTATTTTTTGCTGATAAGGATGTTTATGAGGAAATCAATGTACTTTTTACTCGGTTCCATTTTAATCATAAATGTAATAAAAGTTTATAAACTAATTTCTGTTTTATATTTTAATTTTCAATCTGTTTTCTTGGTGACAGAATCTACAGCCCTTCTGAGGTTGGTCACACCTCTGGTTTTGGAGCTTTAGCATTTTATTTCAGATCAAAAAGAGAAGAAAAGCTTTAGATCTGATATTCAATATTTAAACAGTTCTGGACCTGAAATGTTTGAACTTCTGTTTTTAAGTTGGTTTGTGGAAAGATATTCCTGCTCTGACTTGAGTCTTTATTTTACCAGAGTAACACTATCTGTGCGTCAGAGTGAGTTCAGTCTCGTCTGCACGCCTGCAAAGTGTTGATGAGCATCTGAATGCTGGATCCAGGAATGTCAGAAACACTGAGCCGAACTGTACTAGGCAGTGAAAGTCAGGGTGACAGTCTTGTCGCTGATGGTCGCCTACCTTGAAAGTAAACTCCGGAGCAGACCTGCAGGATCCGAGGTAAGGATGACCGGTCCAGATTGCTGATGTATTCCCGCAGGTCCAGCACCACTCCGGGTTCACCCATCCCTCAGCAAGTGTACAAACGCACGTTTATGTCGCAGAAATCGCTTGAAAGTCCAAGCCGCCTCGCCTGTTTCCGCTTCTGGATAAGAAAAAAGCTCCGCGTGAGAACTTCCTACTCAGGCAAGTTCATTTAACGCTGCTTGCACAACAGTCAGCCTGCAGACCAGCGGCAGCTTATTTCAGCCAGCGCGCAGCTCCAGACTAACCCATCAAACCCGCTGCTTTCATCACGTGATCCAGGGGAAACTTCAATATGCGGCGTATTGCTGAAGCAGAGGTGAGCAGCTGAAAGTTGTTCACTGTATAAAGAGCTCTACATTAAACTGGCCCATAGGTGGCCACAAACCATGTAAATGAAATACATTTAATAAATGAATAAAGTCGCAGGATGGTTGTCCACATATATATATATATATATATATATATATATATATATATATATATATATATATATATATATATGTGTGTGTGTGTATATATATATATATATATATATATATATATATATATATATATCTCAATTGCTAAAGAGCTGTTGGATATCAGTTATTATACATCTGTCAATTACAGTTTAAAACTCTAAGTAACCCCAAAATAGGCCCCCCTTACTTCTGCAAATCTGCAAACTTGCTCCCAGCTAAAGTTTTTAAAAGGCATACTGGTCCATAATTTTGTGCTTGCAACAAAAAAAGTCCTTTTGTCTTCAATTTCATCTGAGACCATGGAGAAGTTAAAAGCAACTTGTAAGAGAATCTTAAAGCTCTAGAGGGGAAGAGGAGGTCAGATCGCAACTGACTGTCAAACACTTGGGCAGAATCATGAAGAACAGCAACATTTTTGCATGAGTTTTTATATTATATGATAGTGTCTAAATTAAGACATGGGAAATTTTTTGTCGTCAGATAAGACCAAGATAGAACTTGTGGTCAGTTGATATGAAAATGTACAACCCCTACAGTAAAGTATGATGGAAGCAGGGTCACACATTTCAGGAACCAGGAACCAGCACTGGAATGGCTCAAAAACACAACAGTGAATGTCCTACTGTGGCCCAGTCAAAATTTTGACCTTAATTCCACTGAGAATTTGTGGCAGTTTTGGAAAATTGCAGTCTAAAAGCATTATCCAATCAACGTGAACAACCTGCTGTAAATTTGCCATGGCAAATTGGGAAAAATCACCCCTGAACAATGTACAACGTTTGTACGCACTAAAAGACTATAAGTTACAAATTAATAAATGTGGGGCTTTTTTAAAACAACATTTGCAACATTGATTGCAGAAATATGCATATCAGTATTTGTGTATCATATCATCCATCATGTCCCACTCAAACTCCTTCTGGCATCCAGTATTTTTCACACATTCAGCATATCTTTAATAGGAAGTCTCTTGGATCTTTTTGTTTTAATCCTGAACATTTGTTGTGTACTTGGATAACTTTTTCCATACACTAGTACAAAGTGCATGATAGTTCACAGTGGTGGACAGTAACAAAGTAAATGTAATTTGTTACTGTACTTAAGTATTTTTTTGTGTGTTTACTTTACTGAAGTATTTCCATTTTGGATGACTTTTTTCTTTCACTCCACAACATTTCAAAGTCAAATATCTTACTTTTTACTCCACTGTATTATGCGAAATCTGTCATTCCTTTTGGCTTATGTGTGTATCAAAACATAACATGTCAAAATGGAAGAAGCATGGAGCAAGAACACCAATCAGGGTACAGCGTGCACTTTGTTTTGAGCATGTTTTGACCTGTTGGACATACCGACCCAGGGCTAGCATACAGTTCAACGTCAGTCAAATTTTGGGAGTGCCTATGCCAACATAAATGATGGAACAAACCTAACTTTGTGTAAATAGACCATAATATAGAAATATGTACACATATGCAGTTGTGACTGGCATCTGAATTCATACAAACACTTTCATTTTATAGTAAATTTGTTTTTGCTAGTTTATGTTTATGAACAGAGACCTACAGATGCAGTATAGTAAAGGAAAACACCTTTGTGAACCTGTGTTTAAAGCAAGTTTTTATTAAACTTAAACTTGTAACTAAGTTGCAAATAAATCTTAAACTAAAACTTTGCTTGTTCGCAAAAAGTTATTTCAGAGCCACTTGGTTCTACCTAATGGAAATTGTTTTCCTTCAGTGTTTTGTGCTTATGATAATTTTAATAGACATCAGTGACAGACTAATAAATGACATTCTATTAAAAGTTTGGTTTACCAAGAGTGTCACTAGAGTATTTTTACCTAAAATAAGTTACTGAAGCAAGATTCTTGTTACAAAAATGGTAATAGGACATTAAAGTCATAATTAATCTTTTAGTACTTTTACTGTCGATACTTAAGTACATTTGAAGGTAAATACTTTTGTACTTTTACTCAAGTGGAGGTCTAAAGGGAGGACTTCTACTTTTACTGGAGTAATATTTTACCTTGGGTATCTCTAATTTAACTCAAGTACATGATTTGTGTACTTCGTCCACCATTGATAGTTCATAGGATACAGCCTGGAGCACTGGAGGGAAGCCTAGTCCACTTCCAGCATGCTCATCATCCTGCACAGCTGATTTATAACCCTAATCCCAACTTAACCAACAACCAGTGGTGGGTAGAGACCAGTTATTCACCCTGTTACATTTAGTCAGGTAAAAGGTTGGATTTGCACTTTCCTGAGTATTTTCAAACTTTCACTCATAATGATATTTATGAGGAAATAGTTGTGCTTTTTACTCAGTTTCATTTCAATCATAAACATTTAGTTACTAATTTCTGTTCTAGATTTATTTTACTCTGTTCTCTTGGTGACAGCATCTACAGCCCTTTTGAGGTTGGTCACACTTATGGTTTTGGAATTTTGGCATTTTATTTTAGACCTAAATGATCCCAAAAAAAGAAGAAATGCTTAAGTTCTATTACTCAGTACTTAAATAGTTTTGCGTCCGCAATTTTCCAAAAGTCTGTTTAAGTTGGTTTGTGGTAAGATATTTTTACTTTTCAGTCATTCAGTCATTATTTTTTGGTAGGAATATTTGTATTTCAGGAAGTGCTTATTGCTTATTGAAGAGAGAAGAAATAGCTCTTGAGTCTAAGGTTTATGGTATTAATATGCAAGCATGTTTTATTTCTCCCTATAAAATAAGTATACATATTAATTTGTTTAAATTCTGACATTTTTCTTTGTGAACTGAAAAAAACTGAAGGGACAACTGAGAAACGTATTTTGGGAATATTGCTAAACTCCATACAGTTTTCTTTGTTGTGATGTCAGTGTTCAATAGCACACAAACATTTCAGATTTAATTCACCTTTGGGCCAAAAGATTTTCAACATATGCTTTTAATTTGGCAAAAAAAGCTGTCAGATAATTTAGGCCAAAGTCATTTAGGCAAATTAACTCCTCATACAAAGGAATACACTTTGATGCACATGAAGATGAGTGTTTCTAAATACACTCTCAAAACTGATGTGTTAAATCCAACACATGCTGTCCTTAACTAGATCGCTCTGCCCATTTAAAGGGGAATTCCACCAATTTTAAAAAAATGTATGTATCCTTAAATCTTTTAGATGTAATAAAGTCATTCAGAGTGGTTTGAAGTGAAATGATTCATTGTAGAGAACATTACCAACTCAGATTCCTTTACAGTGGTGGTGATAGGAACCAGGAGCTGCAATGTCTGCAACACATACATGTCTTCTGAGTTTTTATGTGTAATGTTGATGACGGTAAAAATATGTTTAATAATGATAAAAAAGTAAATAAAATAGGTTTTCTTTGGAGACATTCTGTCTTACAACACCCTGCATGTACCTCTCCAGCATGAATGGATATAAAAATATATGTTTTAGGCCGAAATCTTCTTAAAACTACTGCAAAACAATGTTTCAAATATCAGGTGGTTTGCCACTGTGAATAATTCTGACTTGGTAGGTTTCTCTAGGACAGAGCATTAAACAACAAACCACTCTGAATGACCCTTTTTATATCTGTATGATGTCATTATGCATTGATTTGGAAAAAAAGAAGAAACGGTGGAATTCCTCTTTAAGCAAATTTGTTTTAACAGAATATCAGAAAATCGGTTTACAAAACATCAAAGTGATCTTTCTTACCGATTTGAAAGTAGCAGTGAAAATGAAACATAACATTTGTAAAAGAAAACAAAGTGCATGAAAACTGCCTCAGCTTTTGAAAGGCACTGTGTTCACACATCAGACCATCCGGCCTCGCCTCGGGGGATGGCGGCTTCCCCATTTGAGTCTTGGTTCCTCTCAGCGCTTCTTCCTCATGCTTTTCCCTAAACTGCGTCTCACCCTGGTCAAGCACATTTCCTGTCAATTATACATGCAACTGCTGCAAACCCTTAATGTACACTATGCACTATTTGATTGTTTAAAAATATGCTAATACTTGTGTAAACACAGTAAACACATTTCCTAATGTGCTTCTTCACATTTGTCACTGCTTCACCACATGTGAAACAGAGCAGAAACTTAATACAGTTTTATGGTGAGAAAAAAGTGACTATGGACTCTGAGTGCACATATAGACACAACAATCAGCCATAACATCCTTGTTTCTACACTCATTGTCCATTTTATCAGCTCCCCTTACCATATAGGTGCACTTCGTAGTTCTACTATTACAGACAATTACTTTGTTAGCCCCCTTTTACCCTATTCTTCAGTGGTCAGGACTATCTCAGAGCAGGTATTATTAGGGTGGTGGATCATTCTCAGCACCGCAGTGACACTGATGGTGTATTAGTGTGTGTTGTGCTGGTACGAGTGGATCAGACCCAGCAGTGCTGCTGGAGTTTTTAAACACTGTGTCCACTCACTGTCCACTCTATTAGACACTCCTACCTTGTCAGTCCACCTTGTAGATGTAAACACGCCACCACCACATCACATGTTTGTTATTATTATTATTTAATACACATTTTGTACAGCTTCATTCACACAACTATTCAGAACAGTTACAACATAATTCACTACAATGGGTAAGTAAGTAAATTAATGAAATAAATTAATTAAATAAATAAATAAAACTAGAATTTCAATAATAATAATAATAATAATAATGCAAATATTTAGCATTAATACTCCACATGACTGAAGAATGTACTGGTGTTACCTTTCAACACAGACAGTTATTTATTTACTTACTGCTCCATTGCTGTGCTGCTGTACTCAGCCAGTGCTGCAGGTGGCGCTGTATGATGGCTGTGTTAGTGAGTGAGCGGCAGTAGAAGAGCAGAGGCCGAGTTTCTCGGTGTTGTGTAGTTTAATGAATGGAGAATGTAGTTAACGTTACGGCACGATGGCAAAACCTGCACCTGCAAATGCTCCAAAATTTGACTGTCCCTCTTGGTAAGAACTTTACGGTTCTGTGTCTCTGGATTTGCGTTCGGTAACTCGACCATGTAGCGAACTGTTGGGTAGTTTTGTGTGGAGCTTCATTAGCATATTTGTCGAAAAGGCTGCTTTAGCATGTAAGCTCATTAGCTGGTTAGCTAGGTTGCTCATCCAGTCAGTAGATCGATCTTAGTGTAGTTACTTATTCGGAGGTAGGGCTGTGTTTTAGAAGGCGTAACGTTACTTTTATTTCCCACATTGCAAACGCAACGTTTCCCGATCAGAGTGATTTTACCGCTGTAGGTTAGATAGGAGGCTGACTGCTCGGTCTGTTTGCTAAGTTAGCTAACTGGGATCATTTTGTTCTGCCTAACGTGTGAACCTACAAAGAAACAAATCTGCAGCCGATATACGAGGATGAAGCTGCTTTCCTATTCGCAGCTAATATGAACTGTAACGGATCATTGGATGTATGAATAAACTCAACATTTCACCGGTAGTTTAATGTAACGTGTCACAGCAAAGGCTGCGTTTGGACGGTCACTTCTCTTCTGCAGGATCACTGGCGTTCAGTTTAAGGAGAAATCCAACCATTTGTGCATAATTAAATGTTTTATGTAAAGGTTTAGATGTAAACAAAGTTTGCATCTAAAGTAAAATGATGTAAGAGAAAACGTTGACCTAAAATGTATTTTTTTATTCCATTCATGGCGCAAATGTACATGCTGGTACATGCACGGAATAGTGCCCAATGAAAGCTTTTCTCAGCTTTACTAGTATTTAACCGTTATCAGCATTACATATAAAAACTCAGAAGACACGTGTAGGATCTCAGGTAGTTTTGAATAATAAATAAAATGGCTATATTTGAGTTGTAGACATTGCAACTGCTGGTTCCTGTTACAACCATGAAAAGAAATCAGATTCTGTAAGTTTCAAACTACTCTGAATGACTTTCTTTACATCCCAACTACTGAGATACAGAAATGTGGAAATATTGGTGGAATTTTCCTTCATCAATGATACATGACTCTGTATGTTAAAGCATTTATCATACACTCTGTTTCTGAATGATTCAATCTAACTGTAGTGTTTAACCACATTTTAGTACCTTTTGAATGCTAGAATAACATCTTTATCAAAAAAGGTAAAATATGGTCACATTCCCTAACTATACTTTATTAGGATTGAAACTAAAGTCTAAAAGATGACAGTTTTCCAGAAACAGCTGGATGTGGTCAAGTAGCCAGAGCATCCTAAATTCAGCAGTAAATCCCCTAATGACTTTTGGGAGACTAAATAGAGGAGTGAAAAATCACACTGGTCATGTGATTTCTATATAAATAATAATCAGTGTTCATCAGTGATTGTGTGTGATCCCCTTTGGTTAAGGCATGTAAGCTACACCATGAATATTGTGTTTCTTTACAGTTTTGTATGTAGGAGTTCACAGTTTATTATTTGTTGTTTTTAGGGCAGGGAAGCCTCCACCAGGACTACATTTGGATGTGGTGAAAGGAGACAAGCTGGTTGAGGTGGGTGATATTATTGTACTTGTCACAAGAATAAATTAATCTGCACGTCTTTCATGGAAGACTTTATTGTATGGCTTCTGTATATTGTTGCAGTTTCTCAAAGGCAATAACAGAGAAATGCACTAGATACTAACCTGACTGTCTGCTGCCCAGTCCTTTTTTGTACTGGTGCACATCCATGGCTGTTGGGTCCAGAATGGTGCTATAGAGACAGGCCCTGAGATTTAAGCTCTGAGTGCAAAGTCATTCTCTCAGGAGTTATGACTCAGGGATACATCACATGTGCGAGTGCAAGTGTGCTTTCTTTAATTTTGACAAGTTTATTTTGTCTCTAGTCAACAATGTCTCAGAAGCCATTGAATAGTTCAAGTCTGTAAGAAACAAATACCTTTTTTGTGTAGTTTTAATACATCATCCTTATGTTACTAAATATACTGAACTTACTGTATTACATGTTTATTATCATATTTCATATATTATAACATTCAACTCTAATCACAATCCAAATGCACATAAACCTACTGCCTAGTGACGTGCTGTCTCTGTGCAGAAACTGATTATTGATGAAAAGAAGTATTACCTGTTTGGGAGGAACCCAGACCTCTGTGATTTCACCATTGATCATCAGTCATGTTCTCGAGTCCACGCTGCCCTTGTCTACCATAAACACTTAAAGAGGCTTTTCCTCATCGACCTCAACAGTAGTAAGTCATTCAAGGTTAAAGAAGTAAGAAGGACAGTGTCATGAAAACATATTTGCCCTCTCCAAATTTCTGCCACTTTTGCATATTTGCCACACTTATTTTTTTTTATTTTTTATTTTTTCACACTTGAAACAAAATAATATAAGACAAAGACAACCTGAGTACATGCAAAGTACAGTTTTTAAATGATCATTTATTGAAGGAAAAAGTTATCCAATACCAACCAGTCCTGTGTGAAATAATTCCTGCCCCCTTAGTCACTCAGTCCACCATTTAGCCAAATTTAATTGATAATTGGGGTCAGTTAAGCTAGACATACCCAGGTTTGATTAATTGCCGGCCCTATTGAATCTTAACATCCCTTAAATAGAACCTTTCCAGCAATGTGAAGGAAGCTAACAGGTGTTAACAAGCAGCCACGCTCAAAATGAATTCCAGATAAAATGAGAAAGAAAGTATTAGTCTAAAAAGAGTTACAGAGTCATTTTTAATGATCTAGCACTCCAGCGAACTACAGTAAGAGCTATTTTCTCCAAATGGAGAAAACTTTGGAACAGTGCTGAATCATCCCCGAAGTGGCTGGCGTACCAAAATGCCTCCAAAAGCACAGCAACGACTTATCCTGGAAGTCACAAAAGAATCCAGATGAGCATCTGAGGAACTGGAGGCCTTGCTCGCCTCAGATATGGCTCCAAAGTGTCTGCGTTAAAGCAGTTCTGCAAGGAACAGTTGGCCAAAAGCAATGTGAAAGACTGATCTCCAGTTATAGGAGGCATTTGATTGCTCTTGTTGCTACTAAAGGTTGCGCAACCACTGGGGCCAGTTTCTTTTGCACATGGGTGATGTAGGTGTCGCTAAACTTTTTTCCTTTAATAAATTAAATGACTTGTTTGTGTTTGTGGTTTGTGTTTTCTCATGATCTTGTCTTATATTACATTTTACTTGAAGAACGAAATAGGATGTCAAATACGCAAAAGTAGTGAAAATCAGGAGTAAATACTTTTTCATGCGACTGTACATTAAAACATGGCATGTCCTACTATAGCAGTGTAATAGGAGCTAGTGCTATGAGTCTTTGTGTACACTCCTGACAGCACATGGCACCTTCCTTGGACACATTCGCCTGGAGCCCCACAAGCCTCAGCAGGTTCCTATTGACTCCACTATGTCTTTTGGTGCCTCCACACGTGTCTACACCATACGTGAGAAACCTCAGAGCCAGGCTAATGTGGGAACAGGGGACAAAGGTGGAGACGATGAGGAACTGAAGGGACTGCTGGGTCTTCCTGAAGAGGAGACTGAGCTGGAGGTATGTGAATCCTGAAATCTTTTGTTTTTCCACCTTTTATTTTAACATTTTTTTGTTTTGTCCTTGTTCAAATGGTTTGCATCAATGTGATCATTAACAGCATTTCAGCTTAAGAAAACTCTTTTTGTGTTTTCTTGTCTTCTGTACTTTTCTGGAACATTGAAGAACCTGACCGAGTTCAACACTGCACACAACAAACGCATCTCTGTTCTGACCATAGAGGAGGGCAATCTGGATATTCAGAGACCCAAAAGGAGAAGGAAAAGTTCTAGAGTGAGCTTTAGTGAAGAAGAGGAGATTATCAACCCAGGTTAGCTTAACTGCCCCATGCCACTATTAACACATTATTTCTCTTATTTCTGTACTCACAAAATGTTTCATTTTGTTTGTTACACTATATTCTTGTTTGACCCTTACAGAGGATGTTGACCCCTCTGTTGGACGCTTCAGGAACATGGTACAGACTGCTGTGGTTCCTATGAAGGTAGCTTTTTGTTACATCTTATATTGCATGTTGTGGTTTATGTGCTAATTATTAGAAACCCACTGTGAGCCTTTTTCATTTTCACTGACAGAAAAAGAAAGTAGAGAGTAGTAACGTTTTGGGAATAGAGGACTCTGCCATGCGACATTCGCACAGTTTCGCCTTGAGAGGAGGGCTGTATGGGGATCTTCCACCCACTAGCCATGAGGCTCATCCCACAGGTGCACCTGGTGGAACCACACTCCTTGGAGGACTCCCACTACCAAACCCTGCCCCAGAAGTGAACTTGGCCCCAGAGCCTCCTCTGCCCCCTGTTACCCTGAATCCCACACCTGTAACAGGCCCCTATGTTCCAGAGGGCCTGAGCGAGCCCCGCAAGAAGAAGTATGCCAAAGAGGCATGGCCTGGCAAAAAGCCCACACCATCTTTACTTCTCTAGCTGTGGAACTAATGAACATTATGGATGTGTTGTGATTTTTACATATTTTTCTTCTGCATCAGTGAGTTACAAGACATTCCAGGAATCTAGGAACTGAGAGAGCTAAAATTGGGTTTAAGTTTGGTGCCACCACGCAAAAGAACCTGTTCAGAATAACGACAATTGCTAGTGATTTTATGCAAGCGCATCACAAATGTGTATTTCAGGAAAAAAGGCAGTTATGTTGGCGAGTATAAGAAAGCAGAAATTATTGTTTGTTGCTTGTAATGCTTGACCTCAGTCACTAGATGGCAGTAGATCCATATGATTGAGTCCATTATACTTCTTAGATTCTTCACAGTACATTTCCCTCCCCCAAAAGTGTTTTAAAAAAAAAAAAAAAACACTTTTATAAGAACTTTGTCAGAAATGTTCCTTTTTGTATCCAGATGTTTTCTTTTGATCTGTCTTTTGCTTTTGTATTATGAAATACACTGACAATAAACCTCAAAAGTAAGTTTTATTTTTGGTGCCCCTTTTTGTCTCATGTTATTTATTTTATGTGGTTTACCACAGCAAATGTTTACAGCCACATATAAACATAACAGCAGCATGTTTCCTTTTTTGCGACTGACATATGTCCTCTATCTTCTGTTAAACAACTTTGACCTCTGAACGACTGAACAATTAACCTGCGTGTTATGCTAAACAAGAGGCTCGCTGTAGGACAGAGGTGTTTGGGACGAGACCTCATATTCTATTAATGATTGACTCAGGCATTCATGTGGTTTATGCTCCATACTAAATGCACGGATTTGTGTAGAGTTTGTGCATTATACCATAAGAATGGTTTAACAAGGTTTTAAAGTTCTGCAAATGAGTAAACAAGAAAAAAAATATATGAAATGGTAAACATCAAGTGCTCTGTGGAAAAAAGTACTGCAAGTACAGAGAGGAAACATTTTATTATGAAACTGCTGGGTCAGTTCATTTACACCATAATCCAACATAGGCAAGTACTTATGCAATGCATACTGCCAACAACCAGACTTCATATCCTTACAAATCATGATTAAGAAAAGGATCAAATTATGAGCCAATTATTGTTATTTACTATTTAAAAAAACACTTCTGCTTTTGTGTATGTCTTATGTACTCATGTACTCTAACATATGAGTACATAGAGGAAAAAAGTTATTAATGTTCATTGCATTCAAAAAATCCAGTGATGGATGTATAACACATTTCTTCACAGTTTAAAAATTAACTCTTCTCAAATCTGTTATCAAAGTTCATTCAATATTTAACAGCTTAAACAGCTTAAAGCCCCAGTCCTGAACATCAGTGACAATGCTACTTGTCGCTAACGTATTGCAACACCAGACGCAAGCAGACGCATGGTAATGAATAGTAAAGAAAGCCCATGCTACAAACACCACTATGTGTCAGGCTTCTTCTTAGTAAATTTAGAGGTAATCCTTGTTTTAATGATTTCTGATTGAGATTTTAAGATAATAATCAGGATTTTATCTTTCTAAGGCTCATTTTCAATAAATCTGATCTTAATGTTTACTCCATTGATAGATCTAAGCACTAATCGAGGGATCATCTTTGGGGTATGATCTGGGTCCTTGATGAGAATGTACTTCTTCAGTGTCAGGGCCACCACCACTTTCATCTCGTTCATAGCAAAGTTCTGTCCGATGCAGTTCCTACATTAAATGCAAAAGGTAATATGAATTAGGAATGTAAATTCAGGAAGTATGTAAACAGTATGTAATTAACTGCAATGAAGGCTTTCTTGCAATTATGTACTTATCATCAGTAAACTAAGCCAAATATTCGATGGTTGTGTCACTGAAACATATAGTACAGCACACCCTTAATTTATTAATTCTTAGTCAAAATGACTATTACGTACATTTTTCAGGAGATATTAAAGATAATACACTTGTACATGGAACTGGAAAGTCAAAGAAAAAATTGAAAAAACAACTTTCCAAATCTGGAGATCAAAAATTATTAAAAGATAAAGAGTAAATGGGGCTCCTAACAACCATGCAAGACCTGGTAGACCACCAAAACTGTCACTATCAGATAAACAGCGCTTAAAGCTTCCATCTTCGAGAGAGAAAATCAAGCTCCACTCTTGCTTCAGATCTGAAAAATCCACAGGTGTTTCTGTCCATCCTTCCAGCTCAACAACAACTCAATACTACGTTTGAGACAATGTGAAGCCTTTACTGAGAAAAAAAATAGATAAAACAGAGGAACATTTGCTGCTGTTGTTCTCAGAACAATGAACTAACCACCCCAGAGTCCAGACCTCAACATGCAACCAACTTCTGAGACTAAACTTTGCAAGTGTGAAAAGGTGTAACTGCAAAAACTGAAACCAAGCCTCCTGAAAATAGTGGAAGCTGTGATAAAAGCAAAGGATGGACAAACTAAATCCTGAAAAAACCGAAATTACATTTAGTTTTTGGGGTTTCTGTGTAATTTTTTAAGTATGGGTTTTCTGTTTTTTGTACTTTTGTACTTAATCACCATTTGACTGGAAATTAAATAAATGAAGCACAAGTTTCTGACTCCTTCACAGTACTAGAATTATTTATATGACTTTTACCACAGAGCACAATACTGACTATCATATAGCAAACAGCTAGAGAGACACTCTCTTTAGGGTAATTCCAGTTCAGACAGTTGTGCAATCATCAGGTGTGTTATATGTTGCTACATAGAGAGCTGCAGCCTTCTTGTACAGTGCTAAACACAGGCGCAAGATGAGGGTATAGGCACAAAGGCTTCAAAGTCCATTCAGACAAACAAGAAATGTTTTTTTTCTGGGTGTGGTTTAGGTCAAACTGCCTGCCTCTTTACCAGTGGCTGCTTTACATGGTCTTCATGTAGCTACAAACCTTGATCCAGCAGAGAAGGGAACAAAAGCATGAGGTGATCTCTGAGCTGTGTTCTCTGGCAGAAATCTTAATGGGTCGAACACCTAGGGAAATAACATAACACTATTTGGTACTAAGTGGTAAACAATTAACCCTCTACACTCTAAAGTGTTTCAGTAACAACATGGAAAACAACACAAACTGTCTTATTTAATAATAATAATAACTATATTACTTAAGAATAACTGAGTTTTTCTTAAGTTATAGAAGAGAGGAATGGAAACACTGACCTGCCCGCAGGTCCTGGTCATTTCAAAGGTTAAACACTAAAACAGTTTAGCTATGAGGGTTATCCATGGCAAGCCCTAAACCAATGGTAAGTGTTTAAGCAAAATTTCATTTCTAGAAGCAAAAACATCAGGCAGTAATGGTCATGAGTCTCAGCGTTCTAATAAAACAGCTAGAGTTATGTTCATAATATGTTCACACATGTGGATTCTCCCAGACGGTGGCGTTCCGGTGGATTCCATACACACTGGTCCCAACAATACAACCTATGAAAAAAAACAGAGCAGACCAGCTTTATAGCTTAGCTTGTACCTTGTTGAGGAAGATATTCTTAACTAGTTTCTGCTGTATTCTGAAACGTATTTTCAAAAAGTTACAGAAAAACAAACAGGCTGGTTAATGTTTCAACAGATTTCCTCTGAGACAAAGGTCATATTAAAATAAACAGTAGACAGTGATGCCCTATTGCTTAGATAAAGTCTAAATAAAAGAGTCGTATTATAGGTCAGCTGGATTAAAAGACCAAGGAGTAACAGATAACACATAATAATATCTTAAAGTATTAGTTATTTCATATATATCATATGCAAAAGTTTGAGCACCACTGGTCAAATGACGTTTTGTTGACTTTCTAAATGAAAATAAGTTAAATAGAAACTATACACTAAAATTTGTATGTTTTGTTCCCAGTACAGGATGTTATATATTATACACTACACAGAGAAAAGCATGTTGACACCCATTCAAACTGGCCATTTCAGCTATTTCAACCACAACCACTGCGAACATATGCATGAAACCAAGCATACAGCCATGCACATCTCCACGGACAAATGCTGGCATCAGAACAGGTTTTATCCAAGAGCTCAGTGACTTTTAACATGGCTCTTTCAGAGGATGCCACCTTTCCAAATAGTCAGTTTGTTTAATTGAACGCTACCTGCTTGAATGCATAGTGCAGATTTTGGTGGAGGAGGAATAATGGTTTGGGCTGTTTTTCAGGGTTTGGGCTGGGTCTCTAAGTTCCACTGAAAGGGAATTGTTAATGCTACAGCATAAAATGACTTTCTAGAGAACTTTGTGACAATGTTCATAAAGAAACGGTTTACCGAGTTTAGTCTGGGAGAATGTCTATTATTAATGTTAATAATAATGATGGAGTGGCGACAGGCCGATAGAAACCCTGATGTTTCCAAAAAACTTAGGATGCTGTGCAAAATGTAAATAAAAACAAAATGCTATGATGTGCAGATCATTTAAACCCTATATTTAATTAAAAATAGTACAAAGACAACATATCAAATGTTGAAACTGAGAAATGTTATTGTTTTTTTGAAAAAATATATGCCCATTTTGAATTTGATGCCAACAACACGTTCCAAAAAAGTTGGGACGGGGGCATGTTTACTACTGTGTTGCATCACCTCTTCTTTTAACAACACTCTGTAAGTGTTTGGGAACTGAGGAGACCAACTGCTGTAGTTTTGAAAGTTAAATGTTTTCCCATTCTTCTTTGACATACAATTTCAGCTGCTCAACAGTCCGGGGTCTCCTTTTTCGTATTTTTCATTTCAAAATGTGGCAAATGTTATCAGAGGGTGACAGGTCTGGACTGCAGGCAGGTCAGTTTAGCACCCGGACTCTTTTAATACAGAGCAATGCTATTGTAATACATGCAGAATGTGGTTTGACATTGTCTTGCTGAAATAAGCAAGGCCGTCCCTGAAAAAGATGTCATCTGGATGGCAGCATATGTTGCCAAAACTACAGAATCATGTCTGTTTTTATTGCAATGCTGCCTGAGTCCCCAAAGATCATGGCCAGCAAATACTGTTGTTTGGCCTTGTCCCTTGCATACAAAGATTTCTCCAGACTCTCTGAATCTTTTAATGATATTATGTACCGTAGATGATGAAAAGCAAACGTTCTTTGCTATTTTATGTTGGTAAACATTATTATCAAATTGTTGCACTATTTGATCGTGCAGTCTGTCACAGAGTGGTGAACCCCTCCTCATCTTTACTACTGAAAGACTCAGTCTCTCTGAGATGCTTTTTTATACCCAATGTTTGCCAATTAACCACCAGGTGTTTTAGCATTACACAACTTTACGAGCCTTTTGTTGCCCCCGTCTCAACTTTTTTAGGATGTGTTGTTGGCATCAAATTTAAAATGGGCAAATATTTTTGTAAAAAACAATAAAATTTATCAGTTTCAACATTTGACATGTTGCCTTTGTACTATTTTCAATTAAATATAGGGTTTAAATGATTTGTACATCATAGCATTTTGTTTTTACTTACATTTTGCACAGCGTCCCAACTTTTTTGGAAATGGG